GCACAGTGCAGTGTGGCCCAGCATGGCACAGTAACCATGGCATGGCACAGCACAGCCTGGCATGGCATTGCATGGCACAGTGCAGCATGGCATAGCCCAGCATGGACCAGCATGGCCCAGCACATCACATTGCATGGCACAGTGCAGCACGGTGTGACATTGCATGGTACAGTGCAGTGTGGCATGACATTGCATGGCACGGTGCAGCATGGCACAGCATGGCACAGTGCAGCATGGCACTGCACGGCATGGTGCAACATGGCACGGCCTGGCACGGCCCAGCACTCCATGGCATGGCTTGTGCCACGTTGCGTGGCGCGGCACTGCTTGGCTGCCCTGCACGCAGGGCTCCGCGTGTCCCCGTTCGGGCTGCATGGCAATGCCTGGCACGGCATGGCACGGCACAGCATGGCCCATATGGCACGCACGGCACAACGTGGCACACCATGACATGGGATGTGCGGCAGGGCCTGGCACTCTGCCAGCCCCCACAAAGCCCTGTCCCCTGCAGGGGGACGTGGGGTGACACTCTGAGAGCAGTAGAGCCACATTAGCCAAGGAGGGGCCGCTCTGAGTGTCCCCACGTCCCCAGCACCTCATATAGCCATTACGTTCCTTATGTCCCCGTGTCCCTTGTGTCCCTTACCTCCTCGTGTCCCTTACATCCCCATGTCCCTTGCATCCCTGTGTCCCTTATGTCCCCGTGTCCCTTGTGTCCCTTACCTCCTCGTGTCCCTTACATCCCTGTGTCTCTTACCTCCCTATATCCCTTACCTCCCTATCTTCCTTATGTCCCAGTGTCTCTTATGTCCCCGTGTCTCTTATGTCCCCGTGTCTCTTACGTCCCTGCATCCGTTACCTCCCCATGTCCCTTACCTCCTCGTGTCCCTTACATCCCTGTGTTTCTTACCTCCCTATGTTCCTTATGTCCCCGTGTCCTTTATATCCCCGTGTCTCTTACATCCCTGCATCCGTTACCTTCCCATGTCCCTTACCTCCCCCCGTGTCCCTTGCATCCCCGTGTCCCTTGTGTCCCCTGTCCCTTGCCTCCTGGTGTCCCTTGCATCCCCATGTCCCTTGCATCCCCGTGTCCCTTGTGTCCCCTGTCCCTTGCCTCCTGGTGTCCCTTGTGTCCCACGTCCCTTGCCTCCTGGTGTCCCTTGTGTCCCACGTCCCTTGCCTCCTGGTGTCCCTTGCATCCCCATGTCCCTTGCATCCCCGTGTCCCTTGTGTCCCACATCCCTTGCCTCCCTGTGTCCCTTGCATCCCCATGTCCCTTGCATCCCCGTGTCCCTTGTGTCCCCTGTCCCTTGCCTCCTGGTGTCCCTTGCATCCCCATGTCCCTTGCATCCCCGTGTCCCTTGTGTCCCCTGTCCCTTGCCTCCTGGTGTCCCTTGTGTCCCACGTCCCTTGCCTCCTGGTGTCCCTTGTGTCCCACGTCCCTTGCCTCCTGGTGTCCCTTGCATCCCCATGTCCCTTGCATCCCCGTGTCCCTTGTGTCCCACATCCCTTGCCTCCCTGTGTCCCTTGCATCCCCATGTCCCTTGCATCCCCGTGTCCCTTGTGTCCCCTGTCCCTTGCCTCCTGGTGTCCCTTGCATCCCCATGTCCCTTGCATCCCCGTGTCCCTTGTGTCCCCTGTCCCTTGCCTCCTGGTGTCCCTTGTGTCCCACGTCCCTTGCCTCCTGGTGTCCCTTGTGTCCCACGTCCCTTGCCTCCTGGTGTCCCTTGCATCCCCATGTCCCTTGCATCCCCGTGTCCCTTGTGTCCCACATCCCTTGCCTCCCTGTGTCCCTTGCATCCCCATGTCCCTTGCATCCCCGTGTCCCTTGTGTCCCCTGTCCCTTGCCTCCTGGTGTCCCTTGCATCCCCATGTCCCTTGCATCCCCGTGTCCGCGGCCGGGCTGTCCCCGCGGTGCTGCAGGATGACCTGAGAGCGCCGACGGCCCCGCTTCGCCCGAGGACATGGAGGAGATTTTGCTCGCCAATGGCTACCAGCTGGGCAAGACCATTGGGGAGGGCACCTACTCCAAAGTGAAGGAGGCTTTCTCCAAAAAGCACCAGAAAAAAGTGGCTGTTAAGATTATTGATAAGAGGGAAGGTCCAGATGGTAAGAGGCGACCTCTGGGCTGAGCCCAGCCTCTGCTTGGAGGCTTCTTTTTCTTGGCAGAGAACCAAATTCCCAAATTTCCACCTGGGAGTGGGCGAGGAGGCAGGTCTTGGGGTACCTCCTGCCCCAGCTGCAGGGAGTGGGAGAGCTCCATGTGTCCCAGCCATGGAGGGAGGATCGGGCCTTGCTTCCCTGCATCCCCAATCTTGCGCCAACCCAGGAGCATCCCCGTGCTTCCATAAGGAGCAGGGCCCAGCAGCGGGATGTCCTGTCGGGGACGGGTGGCGGGAGCCAGAGCGAACCCCTGCTCTCCACAGAGTTCATCCAGAGGTTCCTGCCGCGGGAGCTGCAGATCGTCAAGCGCTTGGACCACAAGAACATCATCCGCGTGTACGAGATGCTGGAGTCGGCCGAGGGGAAGATCTACCTGGTGATGGAGCTGGCCGAGGACGGCGACATCTTCGACTGCGTCCTGCACGAGGGGCCGCTGCCCGAGCGCCGCGCCAGGGCCCTCTTCCAGCAGCTCGTGGAGGCCATCGGCTACTGCCACGGCTGCGGAGTGGCCCACCGCGACCTCAAGTGCGAGAACGCCCTGCTGCAGGGCTTCACGCTGAAGCTCACGGACTTCGGCTTCGCCAAGGTGCTGCCGCGGAACCGCAAGGAGCTGAGCCAGACGTTCTGCGGCAGCACGGCCTACGCGGCGCCCGAGGTGCTGCAGGGCGTCCCGCACGACAGCCGCAAGGGCGACGTGTGGAGCGCGGGCGTCATCCTGTACGTGATGCTGTGCGCCAGCCTGCCCTTCGACGACACGGACATCCCCAAGATGCTGTGCCAGCAGCAGAAAGGCGTCACCCTGCCCCGGCACCTGGGCGTCTCCGAGGAGTGCCAGGACCTCCTGAAGAGCCTCCTGGAGCCGGACATGATCCTGAGGCCTTCCATCGAGGAGGTCGGCTGGCACCCGTGGCTGGCCGGTCCCTGAGACGGGCGCCTCACGCTGTCCCTAAATAAAGGGGACCGGTTGCTTCTGAGGGTGACAGTTTGATGTCGGTGTTTTTCTTCCTTCCACCCCCTCTTCATCCATCCCTCCCTGTGGCAGGGACAGGAGGAGCCAAGGGGCTCATGGCTCCAAGCCTTCGGCCTGCAGGGCTTGAGGAGGAGGAGGAAGAGGCCTCCTTCATGCCTTGAGCAGCACCTGCCACCTTCCCAAGGCCACCCCAAGCCCTGGCACAGCCCCCAGGGCTACGGGATCCACGGAGGCGCCAAGGAGCACATCCCACCCCTCTCCCATCCGCATCCCTCAGGGATGGGAGCGAAATCAGCCCCAGAGCCCCCGGGTGCAGCCCCTGCCCCAGCGCAGCCGAAAGGAGGACACGACGCAGCAGCTCCAGAGAATTCCTTTAATTGCCGTTAACTGCAAATCTGTAAAAGGTTTGGAGAAAGTCGTCATTACAAAACTACCAGCTGTTAGAATTGGTTCTGGTTTGCACCCCAGCTACAAAAGGCTCAGGGAGACGCGGAATAGTTCAGAACAGAGAATATTGCACAGACAACCTCAGGGTTAAGTGGAATAAGACACAGCCGAGCGCGGCCCCCTCGGGGCTCTGCGGATGAGCCCGGGGGCTCCCGCAGGACTGAGCAGCTCCCGTGCGTGGTCCCGAAGCCCCCGTTAATGCAGCAGCTGTGGGGGCTGCTGCATTTGGAAGCCTCCCCAGCGGAAAAAGAACTCTGTCAAGTTCCCCCCATCCAGAAATGGAAGAAAAGCCCTAGCTCAAGCCACGCAGCTCTCCAAGAGGCAGAAGGAGAAGGGCAGCAGGGATAAAACCAGTGCTGGAGGGGTGGATACGGGGGCTGTGTCCCACTGGGATGCCTGTGCATTAGCAGCATCCCTCGAGGGGTGTTTTAAGGGGTTAAAGGGGTGCTGCTGCGGGGCGAGAGGCTCCGGGAAAGCATCGTGGGCAGCAGGAGGAGGTTGAAGTGCAGGAACCAGGCGCTGCCGACAGCGGTGCCACCTCCAGCAGCAGGACGAGGGGCTCGGGGTGCTGGACCAGCACCGGGAGAGGTTCTGATCCCGCCGAGACCCAGTAACAGCTCCGGTAACAGCCAGGCACAAGCACGTTGCTTGGAGAATGTGACTACTCAAAACCCAGCAGAGAGGAAAGCAGCAGCCCTCGGCGCTTAAAGAAGCTGCTGCTCTTGCAGCAGGAAGCGGGAGTTTCCATGAGGGAACGCTTCCAAGACAAAAAGCCAGGCAGAAGCTCAGGGGTTGGCGGGGAGCTCGGCTCCTTCGGGCAGGGCCGGGCGTTGGGCCGGAGCCGCGAGCCGGGTGTCCTTCCTCGCAGCGAGGGAAGGAGCAGCAGCCCAGGGCCCCCTCGGAGGGCTGTCACACACACGCACAAGCAGAGGGACAGGCTGGGGGTACCACACGACCCTGCCCGCTGTGCCCGCTCCCCCGGGGCCCCCTCGCCGCACCCCAG